AGAGCATTGCACGTGAAGCGGAGTGCTCAAATAACTTTTGATAGGATAAAGTGATCTAAATGCACCCTCTTCCTCGAAAAATTATATTATATACAAATATTAAATATTAGGCATTATAAATGTATTTATCATTTTTACACTCTAAACACAATTGAGAAGAAAATTTGCACATCTATAGTCAAATTTCTAACTCCGTCTATGTTAAATGCATTGTAATATTATTTAACGTAGGGTAGTTTAAAATATTATTTTTGTGTTCCCAAAAACTCTTTGTGTTATCCACTACCTAAACTATAATTTTGTTTATAAACATTAGAGTTATCCCAAAGTAAACCAAGAAAAGAAAACAGAACATATGAAAAAAATACATAACTAAATGAAACTTTGAGTTTAATCTATAATTGTAACAGAAGATCCTACACATTTGTAATCCAACTTCAGTTCAATCTTTGTTTAGAAGTGAATTAAGCAAGATGTAATTTTTCTTTTATAAGTTAAATGAAACAAAGATCCCTAAATATACTTGTATCAGTATAGGTTAAGCCCATTTGAAGGCCCACTACTAAATATGATGGGCTTATGTTATAGGGCCCACATTCCTTCATCTCATTCTTTGTCCCTCTATATTCCATACCACCAATCATTGAATTGGTCCTATTAACAGTTTTTGCCACCACCAATATTCTTTTCCAAATACAGAATTAATTTTCACATCCAATCCATATGGCAATTCAATTTTGTTTAAAAAAGAATAATAACTCATTATCATCATATCATATGGATATTAATTTTTTTAATCATCTTTAGCAAAGATTTCTAAATGTACTAGGGGTATGACCCGTGTCAGCACGAGCCCAACGTGAAGGACGTTTTGAGTATTTTTATTTTTTTTTGAAACAGGTATTTTGATTAATTATTGATCAAATCAAAGTTGAGTACATCATGAATCAAAGATGGGGATCTATTATCCACTACATAGCATCCGTCATAGAACCCGAAGCCCGAGCTAACGGGTGGGCACACTGGTTTGCTGATCTTTTAATGAAAGACAAGGAAACCACACATGAGTGCTTTACAATCATGAATTATAGCATCAAAGTAAGTTGTTTCCGCAGGCTTTTTCAAGTGCTTGTTTAACCAAAAGATTGCCCATCTCTACAATTATCGGTGTAGGCGGTGTAGCTGCAAAGTTTTCCTTTAACCAGCTTAGTGCTTCTCGAACCCCCAAAGCCTCGGCCATAAGTGAGTCATATTGTCTACCTAACCGACTAGAGCGGACTCTGATGAAGCTTCCATGAGAATCCTGAACTAGCATGCTGACAATTATTCCTGAAGCAAGATCCCAAGAGCCATCAATGTTGTATTTAAAGATATTCTCACCAGGAGGAAACCATTTTGTTGCAAAATCAGGTTCTATAGCAATGAAATGGAGGTTGGTATTCTTGCTTTAGTCCAATCTTGCCAAAACCGGGATGCCTTTTGGATAACAATTTCAGGCCGTAAAGATCTTCCCTTCTACACAAGGTTATTTCTAGCATTCCAAATCTCCCATAGGATCATGATAGCTTCATGTAATTGATCAAGAGTCACGATATCAATCAACGACTTAATCCCATCCAAGAGCAAGGTCCAGATTGTCGCCATCACAATGATGATTTCATCCAAACTTGTTTTGCTACATTGCACTCGATTAAACAGTGCAATATTGTTTCTGTCTCTTGGAGGCATGCCGGACATATGCCGGATTGAGAATCTTCTTATTCATTAAGTTATCACCAGTTGGAAGAACACCAATCAAAGCTCTCCAAACAAAATTCAACATCTTAGGAGGCATCTTCAATTTCCAGATTTTCCACCAAAATTGTCCATTCGGGATCGGGATAGGTGTAGTAGCATTGTGCAGCTCTGAATACCCACTTTTGACAGTGTATCGTCCTTTCCTATCAAGTTTCCACATCCATTGATCATCCCAGAGAGTAAATCCCAATGGAATTCACTTAATGCAATCTATCTCATCAATGGAGAAGAATGTCTCCAACTTGTGAGTATTCCAAGTTCTTGTATCCCAATCAATAATATCTGCCACACGCAACTCCAACAAGTCTTCATCAGGGGTACTGTGAATAAACAATGATTGTCCCACCGGTAACCATGGATCATTAAGGATTTTAAAATCGAGTAAATGCCAAACTTTAGAAGGATGGCAGGTTTACAGTAAAGACATGCTATAACAATCTTTTTGTGGAGAATTAGAGGCAAACTGTGGTAGTTGGCCATGGAGATTCTTTCTCATGATGTCGACCAAATCCTTGAAATATCTAGGGATTCCTTTGTTGACACTTCTTTTATGAGCAGAGCTCTTCTTCTAAGAATATAGTGGCTGATAGCTTTGTTAATTCTTTGATCAAACATCCTAAAATAGTATATATTGCGTCATTGTCCGAGTGAGATTTATCCCAAGAGATAAAGGAATGAACTGTGTCTCCTACATAGACCCAACTGCAACCCGCAGTTTTCTTGGCTTCTCTTCCTCTCATCATCTTCATTACCCTCCCCATCTCATTCCATTTCCCTTCCGAGGCATAGATACCAGCCAACTGTGCGTATCTAGACCCGTTCCCTCCTTCAATTTGCAATAGCTTATCCTCTGCAGCTTTTGCAAGTTCAGCATTTCTGTTCATTTTGCAAGCATTTAGAAATGTGCCCAGAATTACAGCATCTGGTTCCATGGGCAACTTCTCCATTAAGCTTACAGCTTTGTCAAGTTGATTTGCCCTTCCATACAAATCGATCATGCTTGCGTAGTGATCAGTTCCTGGTGATATATTGTAATCTTTGGTCATGGAAAAGAAATACTCTTCTCCTATTTTTACTAATCCACGGTGCCTGCAAACTGATAGAAGGGCAAGGAAAGTGACTTCATCAGGTTGGAAACCTTGCTCTGTCATCCGACTGAAAAGCTGAATAGCTTCATTTTCATACCCATGGAGAGCATAACCAGCTATCATACTATTGTACAGGATAGTATCTCTATCAACAGACAATTGAAAAACCCTCTGTGCATATGTTACATTTCCACTTTTTGAGTATGTATCAACCAATGAATTTGCCAACTTAGCATCCATTGCGGTGGCAATTCTTAGTATACAGGCATGTATTTGCTGCCCGTAATTAAAGGTTGCATGTATGGCGCATGCGCCAAGCAGGTTTATGAAAATCAGTTCATCAGGAACAGTTGTTTTCTGTGTCATTAACTCTCTGAAAAGCTGAAAAGCATCTTCACATTGATGTGCTTTCACGTATCCAGATATCATAGCAGACCATACTACATGATTCTTATCAGGCAATGAGTCAAAAAGCCTTCTTGCTTCTAACATATTCCCCGTTTCTGAATATCCTACGATTAATGGTGTGACGGCAAAAGGGTTGTCTTTCTGAGTCGTTGTACAAACAGAATGTGCATAATTTAAGAGGCCACACTTGCAATAAAGATTTACGAAACTACTGCTAAGAAATGGATTCAAACTCATCCCTTCCTTCAAAATCGAGGCGTGAATCTCCTTCCCAAGTTTCAAATTCTTCACACCAGAACAAGCACTTACAACGCTAGAAAAACTGTGTTCATTCCATTTAAATCCCTCCTCCATCATGCTCCTGAACAACCGGATGGCCTCTTCTTCATACCCGTTTTGGGCAAAACCCGAAATCATTGTGTTCCAAGAAACTTCATCATTCAACTGTGGCCTAGTTGAAAACACATCCCGAGCCATTTCCACATCACCTTCTCTAAAACAAGCTGCCACCATAGTATTCTTGGAAACCGTGTCAACAAACCCAACCTCAGATCCATCAAAGACCCTCCAAGCATCTCTGAAACACGCGCATTTCGAATACATAACAATCAAAGAACTTAGTGAATACCTACTTAAACTATTCCCACTCTTCAACATATATGAATGCAATTGCCTACCATATGACAAAAGACTCAACTTTGTTACTAAACCAAGCATGGTAGTCAAGGCATATTCAGATACTTTGTCAGCAAATTGCATTTCAGCAAATAATCGAACTGCTTGATCTTGAAATCCTTCAGAATTGACATAACCAGACAGCATTGTATTGTATGTCACACAATCCTTTAAGGGAGCAGCATTAAAAAGCGTTCTTGCTTTAGCAAAGTTTTGATCTTTAACATAGGTGTTTATAATAGCATTCCAAGTGAAAACATTTCTTTCAGGCATTTCATCGAACACTTTCTGGACATCATGAAGAAGAAAGTGCTTTGAGTATATATGAATAAGATGGTTGACATCAATGATTCTTGGGTTTAGACCCGATTTGATGATACTGGTTTGAAACTTGGCGCAGTCTAACAGTGATTTCATTTTGAGTATTGGCGGGAAAGAAAGCCAGTGTGGCGCCAAAGAGTTGGGTTGAGGGTTCGAGTCACTCTGGAGTATTAGCGGAAACACTATTGATGAGGATTCGAATCAATATATAAGCGAGAACACTATTAATTCTTTTGAAGTAGGATGAAATGAAAACCATGTGTGGTTTGTTACTACTATTTTCGTATCAAGTCTAGGGAGAATATGCCATCAAATCTTTATAAAAGGACTTTATAACTTATTAACATCATATCATATATAATATAGAAGTAGGAACTTTGTACTATCGAATGATCTATAGCTAAGATTTAATATATATATTTTATCATCATTTTAAACGTGAAATATTGTTTAATAGATACATTTTGGACAAAACATTAGGTGTTTAATAGGTAAGAATCTCAATTGCAGTGTCTAAATAAAAAATCGTGTCAATTTTAGGTGTTTGTACATATTAAGCCAAAATAATTTTTTGCTATTGAAAATCTCTTAAAAGGAAATAGTAGTTTTAAAACAGACAATGGAGATCAATAATTAAATCCCCGTGTTAGTAATAGTAGTATTTAGTACAACAAACATCTTGCTTTAATTAATTTAAACAGAGTTCACAAATTAGAGAAAATATCTGCATTAAAGCTAGAAAGCTAACAGTGCAAAGGAGTTTTTTAATACAATATTTGCACAACCATATAGCCATGATTCAGTAGCCAGACCAACTTTCTTTAATACTACACAAGTGCACACAGCAACTACATTTTAATGAATTTACATTGACAGAGAAGACGAAGAAGAAAGTATATAGATCTGTAAGACACAAATTTCTCACTGGCACGCGACAAAATAAAAATAATCTAAGTTCCATTTTACACGTCTCCTTCACAGTAACCTAACATTCACCTGTCAAGCACTGCAGCTCCAGATTTTCCGTATATTGTAAGCAGCCTCCTAGCAAGGCCAAACTCTTTTTTATGGTAGTTATGCTTCTACTTTTGGAGGTCTCATGCCAAAACCACGCTTTGCTTTCTCAACGCTGAAAAAGAAGTGTTAAGTTAGCACAGCCTGAAATCAAAATATAATTCAAAATGTTCTGTAATTGTGAGAAATGGATAATATCATAAAAATGTGCAGGATCATTATAAATTTCCACAGCAAAAGTAAAACTAGGCATAATCGAATGGCTTAGTGAGGATAGTGAAACGGTATTAGGAAACTAAAAACCCAAGATTCATGCCAGCTAAATGCTAATAGTACCAATAATTTCATTATCATTTTCTCCATGTCAGTAGTGGAACTCTGGAATAGCAGAAACCTATATGTTTGGTTGAATGTCAGAACAAGCATGTGCCATGACAATGAAGGATAGACAAAGCTTTTTTTTCCCTGGCTAAGCTCCATTCATAAAATATGAAAGGTTGAAGCAAGAAATAAGGAGCAACGATCAAGACTACAATATATATTAGCTACATCTTAAGGCAGCAATGTATCATGTTATCATAGGTCTACAATAAACAGTACATCAGTTATATATCTTAATCATTGATCTCAACTGTAAGGTGTCTGGGAAACGGTAAGTGAGCATGTTTGTGTTGCATGTGGGGTTCAATATGAAATTTTTTAGAGCAGCGTGTTAGTGCATATAGATACCACAAAGTAGGCCAGGGGTCATTCAACCAACTGAGACAGCAATATGAACCTTTACGGAGCAATATGAACAACTAACTGATCACGAGAAAGAATTATTGAAAACTTGAAGCTATCGTAGAATTGATACTCACGTCGGAGCAAGTTTTCCCAGGCTCTCTAACTCTTCACCAGAATCCTCGTCAAGGACTCTGCCAGAAATTTCAAGAATATAAGACCCGTCTCTGTCAGCTGGAAGGCCTCTACTCGCAAGCAACTTCAGATCCTTTGGGTTAAGCTCTCTCCCGTTGACAAATACTCCAGTACTTCCACCAGCACAGTTTTCAGGCATGGGATAGTTAAATTCTTCAATAAATGGCTGCAAAAAGAATAGTTATAGTATGGGAAAGCATAAAAAAAGCAGGAGAATACAGGCTACAAGTATCTACTGGAAAATAGTAAATCTTACAGGGATAATGCCCAAACAATGACCACCGATCACTCCCCAAAATCCAGCTCGAAAATCATACCTAGCACAGGAAATTAAGTCAAGAAGCAATATACTCGTAAATGTGATTTTAGGATAAACCAAAATGTGGTACAAGACTAGGTAAAGGGAATCTTTGCAGCTGAATAAATGTAGACCAATTGACTGAACTGAACCATCAAAAAGAGGAACCATCTTACTAATTTAAGTAGAACTAAACCCACAAATCATGTACATTGTCAAATGATCAATACTACATTGGAGTTTTTTCACAGGTATTTATAAAAAAAAAAATTCAGTATCTCAGAAACAATAGTGCTATATGCATATCGTGATATTGCTTCCAAGAGATTCCATTCAGATGATTTGACTAATGTAATTTCTCATTGAAACTATGCAACTTCTGCACGATCATACTTGCCGAATGGATTTTATGTTGCAACTTGGTTAATGAAATTCTACGAAATTGTATTAGATTAAATAGGAAAATCATAGTCTCTTATGAATATTTCACCAAGCAAACTAGAATTACATAGAGCTTTATTTGACCACCGCCCCCCCAAAATCTAAAATGAATAAATAAGGAAACAGATTTATGAAATAGTCACTTATGCTATTTCTGGCCTCCTACATGTACATCAGCAACAAGATAAATGCAAGAGTAAAAGACATCGTGTTTAAACTCAAAGAATGAACATGTTGAATAATTGAAGGTCTGGTCACTTACCAGTAATGTCCAGGTTGTATTGGTCCTGCACGCTTTTCTGCCCTTTTAATCAACCGATCTGGTATAAGATGCCCATTAACTGTAATATTGGCCTTTTCCCCATCGGAAGAATCAGATCGGCTGAATTCTTTAAAACTGTTCTTTATAATGCCAGAGAAAAATGATGCTTTAGTGGCTTTCAGCTGGTCTCCTTCTTTACTATATACACCAGACCCTAAAGACGAGCTAGTGTTACCATACTCATTAGACGGTATGTCCATCTCAGTTGCTACAGCTAAATCTTTCGTGGAGTTTTGCTCTGAAGTAGTCTTTTTCTGCATCAGCTTCTCTGCATCTGAGCGCGTACTTCTGTTTCCATGATCCAGCCGGTTGGCAACATGAAATTTGTTAGAATGGTCAAAGTACTCTTGCAGTGGTGAACCAGCTGGTGGTGGAGATTCTTTAACCTTCATTGGCAGCTCAGAGTTAGACTTTTCCATTGTTGCAGCAAATTTATTGAGGTTGTCCTCTTCCCTTGAACTGCGTGAAGATGTAGAACAAAGGCTTCTCATCTCAGCAGATTTAAGGGAACTTCCATGGCCTGTTGATAGTGACGTAAGTTCTTGATCCATTGCAAGGAAATCATATTTAGAAGTATCATAATCTTCAGAGGAAAAGGTCATGCTAGGACGGTTTGTATGTCCATTGGAGTATCGATTCCCTTCATTCAACATGACTCTTTGTTGATGACCCGTCTTTTTAGTGCTTTTATCTATTCGTTCATCAATAGAAACAGTCAGTTTATTGTCTGAAACTGCAATAACCATAACTGCAGAACATGACCCACATTTCATTTTTTGCCTTTTACCACCATGAAAAACTTCCTTAGGTAATTGCAGCAGCTGAAAACAATTGAAGCACGTTAAAAATGGGGCTCCACCAGCCACAGGTAGACATAATTGTCCACTAGGCTGACCCCTGGGAGGAAGTCGACGAGCAAAACCACCTACAGCAGCATTCAGGTCACCAGAATGAGCCATTTGTGATTGAGGATTCTGCGGCTTTAACGGAAGAGGATTGGCATTTCGAGGATTATAATCTTGCTTACCAAATGCACCACTATTTTGATGACGGTAGAACATTGCGTTCTGTGAAATGTCAGAGAACCTTTTCTCACCAAAAGCAGTGGGTGGACCTCGTCTACGGACTTGATTTAAGTTGCAGCAGTGAAAACAATTGCAAGATGGATGATGAAGATTAGCCTGAGGCGGGTAAGGTCGATAAGGATCTGTAGGTGGGATTTCATTGTCCATTGACCGCCCAGAAAAACGGGAATGAGAGGGCTGCAATTGAAACGGAGCTAGGGCTTCGTATGGATCTCCACCAAGCAACTGGGACCTCCGTGGACCTCCATATCCCTGGATACGGTCTCTAGGAGGATAAAATCCACCGCCAGCCATGTCATGAGAATTCATAAAAGGCGAGGGCGCATTGTAGTGGTTCAGGTAGGGAGGTCTTTCACCAGAAACATGATTTTGTGCCAAAGCTCCATTCAAGATCCTAGTAGAGCTTTCAGGAAACCGATCAACGGGATTTCCATAGCCTTCATGATGAGCCATCCTCCTTTCAAGTGGAACTCTTTCGTTAGGCAACTCAGACACATCACCAAACCGACTGAGCTGCTCTTTTAGCTCATCAAACTTTCTCAATAGCTCTGCTCGCTCATCAACTGGACAATCAACCTGACTGAACTCATCCACATCCTTCCTATACAACCTCTTATCATTATCATAATTTGAACCCGACCAGTAGCCAGAAGGACCTTCTTCTGAGTTAACGGAGGACGCGTACCTCATACCTTCAGGATCAAATCTTCTTGCCCTGGGCAACACCTCTGCCTCACTTCTCTCCTTACTTCTCCAATCTGGAACTCTACCTGTTCTTCGGGATTCAATTTCTTTTCCGTTCCGGGAGTCAGAAAGTTCAAATTCTTTAGCCATATTTTCTTGAATTTGTTCATCCAGATTGGACCCATCCACATCCTTCCTGTACAACCTCTTATCATTATCATAAATCGATCCTGAAGAGTAGCGCAATGGACCCTCTTCTGAGTTAATGGAGGATGATAACCTCATACCTTCACGATCAGCTCTTCTAGACCTAGACAACACCTCTGTCTCAATTCTCTGCCTACTACTCCTATATGGAGTAACTCGGCCTATCCCTCGAGTTTCAATTTCTTTTCCATTCTGAGAGTCAAAAGGGTCAAACTCATTGGCCATATTTTCTTGTCTTTGTTCATCAATGTTAGTCTTATACATCACCCTATCATCCTCATCAGCCCAATTATCAGCAACATTCCTCAAATTAGCCCTGTAAGTTTCAGGTGCATCCCGCAAAGCCCTTCTCCTATCCCTTGTGCTGGAAGAACTAGCATTTGACTTGACATCATACCCGGAACCATCAGCCATGTTCATAAGTTTCTTCTCTGAAAGATCAAAATTCTCAGGCTTCTCCACAGTTTCTTCGTCAGATTTCTCTACAAATTTATTCAACTCCCCATTTTTATTTTTAGCTGTAACTTTAACAAGAAAGAGAAAAAAAAGAAAAAGAGAGCAATCTCAGAAGACTTTAGCTACAACAAGACAAAGAAAAACCACTAATGCAAACAAATCAATCTTCCAATCTGACTACAATAATAACAAAAAGGGAAACAGTCAAAGAAAACGAAATCACACAACTTGAAGAGCAAATCAATTTCAAGAATTGCTTTTTACCCATTCCTCTAGTAAACTAAGCAGAAAACAACAAAGAAAAAGGAAGATTAAGAAGTGAAGAGTACCTCGTAAAACAGCACCACAACCCCCACACTGGTAAACAGAATAATCAGTAAGCTCAGGTAGCAAATTTTCACACTTTGGACAACGAACCAAACGAACCTTTGCTTGTTCAGACATTTAAAGATGTCTTTCAAAGAATCTTGAAAACCCCAAGAAGGAATTAGTACTCAGCTCTCAACAATTTTCAAACATTTTTACAAGGTCCTTTGAAACAATCTTGAAAAACCCCAAGATCATTTCCAAAAACCTCTCACAAAGTTTTCAAACTTCTTCAGCTGTCATTAATGTCTTTTGTACAAGAACACATCTGAAAAAAAAAAGGGTTTATTTTGCAGAAAAATTCAACCAAGAAAGTAAAAATCTTTGTAGGTAGGTAGGTATGTTGCAGATACCTCTGTTTTCTCATTTGGCTTTGGAAAAGGTACGGAGAGAAAATAAATGGTGTCAATATACAAGTTCAGAACTACCAAACAAAAATTGCACCAAGTCAATAAATCGCGTTAATTTTTTCTTTGTTTTATTTTATGAAATAGACCAGAGGTTTTTTTTTTCTTTTTTTTTAATAATGTCAAGTGAGATTTTTAAATTTCTTAAAAAAGAAGTGGACCATAATATAGTTGGTGAAATGAAAATAATAAATAAGTGAGTCTTCAGTTCATCCAACATACCTGCGAAATAGAGTAGAGTTGCTACTATTATACTGCAATATCTCTGTTGTGTCGAGATCAAGATTACACAAGATTTAAAATATAAAAAAGTAAGCTTATAAAGAAGTCAGAGGGGGTTCAACATTTATTATATAAAAAATAATTTCAATCATGAATAAAGAATATATTTTCCAACAAGGGGATCGAATGAAACCCCTCAGACCTTACTAGTTGCGCATCATTTCATGTGTTGTTTAATTTTTAGGTTTCTTATAGTTTGGTGTTTACATAATTTTGGGGTAATCATTGGAATTGCTTAAGAATGCAAACTACTACCAAATAAACTATTTTTTAGGAGTATTTATTTTTTTATTTAGTGTGTACTATCTATTTGGGATTCTTACTTATTTGGAATCGCATCATGTGACTACTATGTGAGAGGGTTCATATAAAAAAAGTTCATTATTTTTCTAACTTAAATTCGAGACATCCAGTTAAATATAGTAATATTTCAACCATTTCTTGATTGTGTAAATCAATTCTTCTTTCTTTTTTTTCAGTTGTAAACTAATTTGTTGAGGAGAAAAAAAAAAGGTAGATGACTGATTTAATAGTACTACTTAAATTGATTTGGAGGAGTTTCCATGAAATTTGTGGCAGACGTGCGCACCCTTAACAACACAGGCACCAATTTATTTAACATTTTCTTCCAGAAATAAAAGGCTTTTTGTGAAATAGGAGTAATAATGTATTTATTCACCTCAATTTTTATTACTTAATATTTTCAACTTTTATTGAGGAGGTAGTAATTAAATAAATATGAAAAATCATCTGCATCATATAGTGTTGTTTTTTTCTTAACTAGAGGTCTTGGATTCGACTCCTAAATATGAAAAATCCCTGATAGAGAGTGCTTCTTCCCCGAATGGTTCTACACAATGTGAATCCTGAATAGTTCAATTTCAATACAGACATCAAGCATCATATAAGAAATTAAAAAAATATGAAATAAAAATAAGGTCCTTGTCCTGGTATGGCTGCCTTGTATGACTTGGTAACATTTCACGTGAAGAAAAATATAAAAGCAAAGTACCAATTACATAAAATAAAATAAAAAAGGAAAGGAAGGTTTTGGATTTTTTGTAAAAAGAGTGAAACCTGAGCACTATTAATTTTGTTATTTTGTTCACTTTGTTTGGGAATTGGGAAGAAATGAAATCATATACTAAAAAGTAAAAAGCTAAATAAAACTCATGAGGGAACTGACACTTTTGTTTATCAAAATCTGTTTTCTGACTCAGCTTTCCTCTTTTTCGATTAAATCTTTCAAATGCTATTGGCTCATCATTATAAAGTTTAAGCTACCTAAACTGGCCCTACAACTCTACAACTTTTACAAATATTCTCTTAATACCAAATTGTATTTAAAAAGGGGAAAAGGGTCAAAAATACCCCTCAACTTTGTTTTATTGTTTGACTATACCCTTATCGTTAAAACGAAGTTATTTTTGCCCTTGCCGTCTACAAACTCATCACATTTACCCCTCAATTGGATGGAAACCCCCAAATCAACAAAAATAACCCGATTTACTTAAATTAACCAATTTTAACCCGATTCCGATCCATCTAATAGATGACCCGCTTTGTTCATCTTCATCTTGAGATCAAGGCAAAAAACAATGGAGGAAAATACATTTTCAAAGACATGAATAACATTTTCATAACCTAATGGGATTAAGTAAATACAAGTAAGTAAGCCTAAAACCTCAACTTCCCCAACCTTCCTACTTCCCAGACGATTAAACCCATCGTCGCCGTAATCACTGTTCCGGCACCATTACAAAGCCCAAGCAATTCAGTCAGAAGCTTTTATGTCATAATCATGAGATGTTTCAATCGATTTATTTCTAATTCTCTGTATCACCGTTCCAGAACTATTTCCACATATCTAACACCTTATGTGCATTCACAATTCCACAGTCCAAGATTCAAAAAAATTCTGAAACCCATTTCTACAGCTTTACTAAACCGTTATTAGTTCAAATTTCACAACATCAGCTCACGAAACAAAGTTGGCTCTATCAGGGAGAGTATCAGCGATAGTTAATGAGATTTCGAATTTAACTTTGCTGGAAGTATCAGATTTAGGGCAGGTTCTAAGGAAGAGAATGGGGTATTGAAGAGATGCCTGTAATGGCATAATGATGCCCGAGACGTGAGCTGCGGAAAAGACGGAAAAGAAGGCAAAGAAGAATGTTTGATTTGAAGCTCAAGGAAGTGATGAAGATGAACAGTAGGAAGTAGGAAATAGGGAGACAGATAAATTAGGTTAAAAATGAAGATGAACATAGGTGGGTTATATCATTTGATGGGTTGGGTCGGGTTAAAATTGGTTAATTTAAGTAAATCAGGTTATTTTTGTTGATTTGGGGGTTTCCATCCAATTGAGGGGTAAATGTGATGAGTTTGTAGACGGCAGGGGCAAAAATAACTTCGTTTTAACGGTAAGGGTATAGTCAAACAATAAAACAAAGTTGAGGGGTATTTTTGACCCTTTATACATAATAAGAATACCAACTTTTATATACTCCCAATTATTACATATCGATGTTGGATCCTATAATGAATTATCTATGCTCCAAATGTTTAACCCTAATACGTAGGAAAGTAATTAAGTTGAGGGGTTCAATTTTCCTTACAAGTAATTTGACAAAAAAAAAATATTGATTCAATGAGATATGCATACTTGTATTAAAATTTAAAACTTATCGTTTACTTTATGAAATCTATCAATAAATTTTCACTATGAAATACATTTCCATCATCCCATAAATTTTTGTTTTAAATGTTTATATATTTATTTAATTGTGTTGTTCTATTGTTTTTTTTTTTTTGGTGAAGAATATAATTATTCCTAGCAAAAGTCACCTATCCTTAAAGCAAAAGAAATGGATTAAACGCATGCAGTTTCTTATTTTTGCTTTATAAAAGTTTGACTTGTTCATCTTTTGTCTAGTTGGCAAATCTTCCTACTTAATATACCATTTTGCCTGCAAATCACTTTCTTCTTTTATATATTTAATTTAAACTGTTTTAGAAAATTTATCCAACTATCATTTTATTTAATTTACTGCAAAATAATCCGTTTCATTAGAAATAATTCCTATATTTTCCTACGGTATTCAACTTTTAACAAGTATAACAACTAAAAGTTTAAATAAAGCTATCATCACTATCGAAAGAAAAAATAAATTGCACACTCCACCAGACTCTTTCGTTGAAAGCTACACAAAGTTATCAAATGTAATTCACAATATATGCCTATTGGTTCGAAGAGGAGTGTATTTATCCTAAAAACAATAGCTCATGTAAGGAATAACCTAGATTTAAACGTCGACGACTCTACTTTATTTATTTTTGAGTTATTATAAAAAAATATTTATTATTATTATATATGATAATATGATGATAACATTCATACACTTAGATTTGGAGTTATTTAAACGAAAATAAATAAATTATGATGAGTTGATAATGGCATACATCTAATTTTAATTTAATAGAAGCGTATATTATTCGGAAATTAATATTGTGGTTGCAAACCTTGCCGTCTTTACACTAGTTTGATTAATTAATTAGCATTTCAGTTTTGGGTTCTTCACACAAATACTAAAGCAAATTTACTGTTTACTTTTTTTAGTCTATATATATATAAAAAAATTATATATACGATCATACATATAATATCTATTATACATTTAATTTAATCAATTGGGTGGATGGCTATTTACTTTAGTTCTTCTATAATTTCTTACACTAAAGTGTTTGCAAATTTTATTTTATTTTTCTTTTAGTTTTTGAACAGTTGAAGAAATTTTGTCATTTTATTTCTAAAATCAAAGTCAGCTGTTTCGTTGGAAAAAGAACTGTTAAATTTCTATTCAACTTTTTAATTATCAACGAAAGCAATTTCATCAACGTACTTCTTTTTTGCTTGTTCTACCTGACTGTTTCTCTGAAAGCTACCCAAAATTATCATCTAGAGTAAATTTTATCCATATAGTCATTGAATGATTGGATGCATAAATCTCGATTTTCATAATTACTTTGATTTGTTGCTTTTAAATCAAGAATCTTTCAAAAATAATATTTATATCTCTATGAGGTAGTACCCTTTTCAAATCTGCTATTATATTGTATATGTTGTCATTGCTAATTAACCTAATAGTGTAAGAATTAATGAGTCTTATAAATGTTTGAAGTCAACCTATCTTGAAAGTCCACGACATATGGAAAGTTAATTAAGTAGTAATTTATGTTTCTTACAATTATTGTGGGATAAAAATAGTTTGCTGGTTGGCAAAGCAATACTATGATTAGGAAAATTGTGTTAAGGAGAAGCATCAGTTGGTTAATACATATTAATGCATGTTATAATCTATTGGGATTTGTTTTGGCTGTCATTCTCAATGTTTGGTTGAGAATTTCTTAATTTTTAAAAAAGCATCAGTTAGTTGACTTTGACTTTAAAAATAGTATCTCTGATCCGTTCACTTTTACTTGTCACTCATTCTAAAATAAATTTTTATTTTTACTTATCACTTCTGACATATCAAGAAAAGACAATAATTTTTTTCCATGTTTTATCCTCAACATTAAATACTTATTTTTCAAGACATTTAATAGGGAATAATTTAATAAAATACCTATATCACTAATTATTTTCTTAATGAATATGTAAAATCAAACCATGATAAATAAAAATGAAAGGAGGGAGTCGATTATGCATAAAGTGTTAAGAAAAGGCAATTATTTGTTGGTAAAATG